CACCTCCCACAAAAGACCCAACCCTCGAGACCCCAGGACGTCCATCGACCTTTGCTGTGTGGGCGTCACGTATTCCACAGGAAAGCGGTCGGAACCCGAGAAACCAAGGGCACCCTGGAAACAAACAGGGTGTTTCTTGGCATTGGCTGCCACTGTAGGCCAGCCCCTCGTCTGCACCACTGCCCACGACCCTGTATTGGACGCGCCGTCCAGGCACTCTGACAGTTTAGCGTCGCGCATGTCGCAAGTGTACTTCGCGTGATTGCTTCACTGGCGGCGAAGATTGCGGCACCTTTCTCGGCCGTATCGGAAATTATCTGCGGGTGGACACACTCGTTTATGTGTAGCGGTTTCAGGACAAAAAAAAAAACGAAACCAAGACACCAATCCCTTTCTCGTTACCACGGAAAGATTTACGAGGAGCTGTTCCCCCTCCGCCAACTGGTTCCAGGAGCTTAGATGGCCGAGTGTTGTTTGTTGCTTGGGTCGGCCCTGTTCCGATATCCGCCGCCGTGCCTTTGAGGCGCGAGTTGGAGCGTCATCGGGTCTCTTGGTCAATCTCCTGGAGCTTCAGTCCTCAATCTTGAGGGTTCTTCCGATGGGCCCAGACCCCAAATTGCCAAATCCCCAGGGCGTGTCACGTGGTTCCTGGGGTTCGTGGCAGGACTTGTTCGTCCCCACCAGGGCGCCACGAAGGACCAAGAGTGCCCCGAGAGGCCCCCAAGATGGCCCAAGAGGGCCTCGAATCGCTGAACGTTCGGTCCAAGACGCCCAAGATGGCATCCTGTCGGTCGAAAGAGCGCCCAAGACGTCCCAAGAGACCTCCAACAGCCTTCCCAAGAGGGCGCCGAGAGGCCAAACTCATGGATGTGCCTAAGGTGTTTGAATGTTGTGCCTGTCGTGCACTTGTCGACCTTCCGACGCTCCAAGACGCCCCAAGAGGCCCCCGAGACCACCCCAAGACGGCCCCATAGGCCCCCAAGAGGGCCCCAAGACGGCGCAAGAAAGCCCCAATGCGGCATAAGAGGGTCCAAAGACTGCCCCAAGAGGGGCCCGCGATAGGGGGGCCCGAACAGAGAAGCCGAGCCCTCCGACCCAAGAGGCGCACATGAGTTCCAAAGAGGCCCTCAAGAAGCCCAGCCCCTGGAGGCCCTCAAGCGGCCCCCAAGAGGCCCAACAGAGGCCCCAAACTATCGCCCAAAGGCTTCAAAACTGCCTCCAGGAGGCCCGAGAGGCATCGAGGAGACCCCATCAAACATCCAAGGGGCCTCAGACCACAACTCAGACGCGGCGGCGGGGTCGGCCGAACACCATTCGACCTGGGCCAGCACGGGAACGGCAAGAGCGCTTGAGGAAATAGCCTGAGAAAGCTCATGGTACCGCTCGCTCTTGGGGGCCTTGGCGTTACGAGCGTGTTCAAGTCACCGATCGCTCTTGGAAGTCTTCGCGTGAAGAGTTGCGCGCGTAACCATCTGCTCTCGAGGGCCTCGGAGTTCAAAGCTGTTTACGTCGCCGCTCGCCCTCGGGAATCTGGGCATTCGGAACTTTCTGCCTCGCTGGTTGTTCATGGGATCTTTCGCGTTCGCAGATGCTTACGTCATGCAAAAAGCGCCGCCCGCCCGGTGTTTTTTGCGCGTCACCGAGGCGACGGATCAACGCGGCCGCCAGGGCGAGCCAGCGAGGCAACCGCGCGTTCTGGGAGATGGATCAAATGCGCACCACAAGGGCCAGAGCTCGCCAGGGACCTGAGGGGCCAACGCTGCGGGTGTCCCCCGCGCGCATTGGCACTGGATTTCGGAGGCTGCTGAGGGCCACGCCGCGCCAAAAAGTACCCCTTTCTGGTTTTTGAGCCAGAGCCGGGCGGATTGCGAGCAGGTCGCGAGCAGACAGGCTCTTCGGTTCTGCCATGCTAATGTGCGCCTTAAGATCGGAAGCCCTGAGACCCTCGCCAACGACGCCCTGCAAGGCCGCCACGGCACTGGTCACTGCGTCGGGGCCCAGTGCGACTGGGCCGAAAGACGGGCGCAGGTAGCCTTCTCTGGGAGCTTGCCCGTGTCCGAATATTCCCAAGCCATGCGCGCGCAAATGAACTTGCTTTCCTCCTCCGTGAAATGGATCTCCTCGCCGAGCCGCAACTTCTTCTCGACGGTCTCTGCGACCTGCCTGGGATTTGTCGGCGGCTGCATGCAGCGGCCGTAGCCCTGCCGAGCCATGGGGGCGCCGAGGGAAATTCTGCGCCATGTCCTGCGCATTGGCGTAGCAGTGTTGGGATCCCAGAGGTTCCCCACTATGAACGGCATGATGGTCGCGTCTTGCATCGGCGGCGCGGGGCGTAGGATTGCCGGCCAAGTGCCGATCATCGCGGCGTAGCTCAGGCCGCGCTCGAGGCCGATAGGGAAGGTCCGCCGCGATCGCCTCCGCCAGTCGATCAGATTCTCCTCGCCGAGGCGCCCGGCGGCGCCGAGCCCGCGCGCGGCGGCCCGCAGACTATCCTTCAGCATGTCGGACAAGATGCCGACCGCAGCCGCCGAGATCTGCGCGAGCGCGGGAGAACGGGAGTGCTCGAGGAGATGCGAGAGGCCCCCCGTGGCGACTGCGGGGTGGATTTCTGCGCCTCCGACCCCTTTGACAGGATAGTAGACCGCGCCATTAGCATGCCTGTAGGCCTCCGCGCCGATCTCCCCACCCGAGAAGATCAGGCCGCGCAGCTCGGTCGTGCTGGCGGGGGCTAGAGGGCGCCGGTTTTGTGCTGGAAGTCCCTGCTGGGCGGAGTTGCCACGCGCTTGAGCCGAGCCTTTCCACGCAGCGAACTCCCCTCGAGCATTGGTGTCTGCTTGCATGAGAACATCTGGCTCGGGGCTCACGACGCCGTTGAGGATAAGCCCGTGGACGCTCTCAGGGTACAGAGTCCCGTGCACGGAGCCCACGGTCGCACCGTTCGAGGCACCGCGGATGCTTGGCTTGTCCGAGCCGAGCGCGCGCCGAAGGCGGCCCAGATCGTGGGCGAGGTGCGCCGTGCCTTAAAAACGTTGCGCGACCTCCGGTCGGGCGCCTGCAATGTGAAGCGATCAGCGACGAAACAAAAATTGTGGTTCAGCTGCGCAATGCTGTATTTCCAGCGCGCGCTGCTCTCGGACAGCCAATTGAGTGTCGGACATGGACGTTGCCATTTCGGCAGCGGCGTTCTCGGCGTAGCCTGGCAGGACCACGGTGAACCACTCCTCGAACTCAGTGCAAGTATCCATCGACAGAAGCGTGAAATCGTCGCCGCGCGGTTCCTTCTCCCTGCGCCCGACCTCGTCGCAGGCGGCCACGGGGCAATCCTGCGCGGGCTCTCCGCCAGCCTGCTCGAACGGGACCGGCGGCCCACCGCTCTCGAGATCGTTCGCGCAACGGCTCGCGCCTCTCTGGTTGATACCAAGAGATCAAAGGACTGGCGTGCGTTGCCGACTGGATGATCGAACACTAACCCCTCTGAAGCGGAAGACATTGTAGAGCCTGTCCCGCCGCCATGGGACAGCAACGGCCCGCGCGCTGCAGGCCGCTGCTTCGCCGGGACACCCCGCGCGCGACGGCGCGCGCAAGGTGGCAGCGCGTACTTCGACGCTACTTCATCGTAGAAGAGCGGCGCGTTCAACCAGCCAGCCAGGAGGGAGTAGGGGTCACCTGCAGGTGAGCGGGCTGAGGTGACCTGGGGGCACTCCGAATCCCATCGCATCACCTGCGGGCCAGGACTCAAGAATGTGAACTCCGCGTTCTTACCCTGCTCGGCATCTTTGATGAACCTCCCGCAGAAGGCCCGTCTCGTCCGAACCATCACATGCGTCGCTCGCGGCCGTGGCGCCCTGTGCGACGGCGGCCGCGCACGACGCCACGCTCGCCATGGCGCGAAGCACCGGCATGTCGGTCGGAAAGGCGGCCGACGCGGGATGCTCGGTCGACGAATCCGCGCCGAACTTGAGCCAAAATAGCTACGGACCGCTCACCTGGTGCTCTGGGATGCCTTGGCGTCGGCGTCCGTCTTGGGCCGCCTCGGAGGGCGCGGCCCGTATTGGGGCCCTCTTGGAGTTCTCTTCGGCCTTCTTGGGGGCCTCCGACGGCACACGGAACGTTCTCTTGGCGGCCTCTTGATGCCCTCCGGGGCCCCTCTCAGGCAATCTTGCGGCTCTCTGTGGTTGCCATCGGGCCCTCATTGGACCCATGGGTCGTCATGCCGTTCTCTTGGGGGCCTCGAGGGTCGTCTTGGGGCAGCCTCGGAGGCCCGCGGCGCCGTCGTCCCGACGAACAACGAAAACAATGTACAATCAATGTGTATGGCCTCCTCAGGCCGCCACGGGGATCCTCTTGGGAGGCTCGTGTGCCGTCCTCGGAGCCTCTTGGGCAGTCTTGGGGGGCTTGCGTGGGCTTGGGGGCCCTCGTGGGGCCCTCTTCGGGGTCTCGTGTGGCACTCTTGGGCTTTCCTAATGGCCTCTCCGGGCCCTCTTGGGACCCTCTGGGGCTCTCTATAGCCGTCCTGGGTGCCTGCTGGGCCGTCTTAGGGCCCTCGTGGGGGGCCTCTGGTGCCGTCTTGGGGCAACCGCGAGGGCCCTCAGAACCGTCTTCGGCGAATCTGGGCCCGACACACCGGGCACCAAACAAACGATGGAAGCTATATAGACATCCCACGTTCTTCGCCCTCCTCGGGCCGCCTGGGGGGTCCTCTGGGGAAGGGGCCCCGCTCCTCCCGGCACTCCTCCTCCTCCTCCTCCCCTTCTTCCTCCTCTTCCTCCTCCTCCTCCTCCCTCATCCCTCATCCCTCCTCCTCCTCCTCCTCCTCCTCCTCCTCCCTCCTGACTCTCGTCGTCCTTGTCCTCAGCCTCCTCGTCGCCATCCTCCTCCCGCCTCCCGCGCAGCCTCCGCCCCCCTCGCCGCGGCAGGCGCCTGCCCGTTCATGCCCGCGAGGGCGGCGTCGGAGCCCTCGAAGCTGTCGAAGGAGATGAATCCGAAGCCCCGGGAGCTTCCTCCGCCGCGCCGGGGCGCTCGGCGAGAGACGCGCCGGAGGAGAGGAGGAGGAGGAGGAGGAGGAGGAGGAGGAGGAGGAGGAGGAGGAGGAGGGAGGAGGAGGAGGAGGAGGAGGAGGAGGAGGAGGAGGAGGGGGAGGAGGAGGAGGAGGAGGAAGAGGAGGAGGAGGAGGAGGAGGAGGAGGAGGAGGAGGAGGAGGAAGCCCCGGGCGCTCGGCGAGAGACGCACCGGAGGAAGAAAGGCCAGCTGGTCGATCTCTTTCGGGGGGCGGGGGGCGGAGGGGGAGGAGGAGACCGGGGAGAGGCAGGGGCAGAGTGCGGCGGGGAGGCGGGGGGAGGAGGGAGAGGAGAGGGGGAGGGGTGACGGCGGGAGGGGACGACCAGGGCGAGGAGGGCGCAGTGGCGGGTAATTACGGGGGGGGGGGGGGGCGGGGGGAGATGAAAGCCTGGATGGGGCCGGGGCGATGGGAAGAGTGAGGGGCGGAGGGAGAGGGCGGAGGGGCAAGCTGGGTGCGCTCGCGGGCGAGGGGGGGAGGGATCGGAGGGCCAGCGGGGTCGCGGCGGGGATCTGTCCCCGCCCCCCCCCCCCAGGGGGGGGGGCGCGCCGAGGCCCGGAGAGTCACAGCGACAAGCCCAGCGCGCCTGCACTCCCAAGACTTGGCGCCACTCGTTTTGGAGGGGCCGAGGGAGGGCGGAGGCATAGGGGAAAGAGAGCTATGCACATACACCGACTCTGGCCAGGCCCATCCTGAGCCCAGGATCGGTGCATACGCCCTCTTACCTTGGCCAGGAAGGTACATGCACCGATCCTGGGTCAAGGATGGGCGTTGTCAGGATCGGTGCATGTGCATAGTTCTCTTCGCACGAGAGGTAGGACCCGGAACCACCTTGGACCCGCCCTGTGTCGCAGGCGGGACAAACCGACCCTCGTTTGCGAACCCACCCCGAGCCTGCCGCGAGACGGACTGGAGAGTGGAAAGTGGGTGCTCGGCGTGGGCTGGGCATAACCAAGTGGTAAGGGCGAATGTCAAGAAGTGCCGCGCCACTGATTGTCATAGGGCCTCGTGAAGCCCGCGCCCGCGGTCTGGACGCGAAGAATGCCAAGGCGACGGTGGATAGAGAGTGCGAGCACAGCCGGCCGAGGAGGAGCCGCAACCGGGTCGATTGTTCGCTTCTTGCGAAAAGTCCAGCGAGATCCCCCAACTCCGAGGTCCGCACGCGCGCCTTCACTTCTCCCCACAAGTCCTTAACCAGAACTCAGACTCAGGACATTGAAATTACCTCTGGGCCTCCACAGACGGCGTCCCCGCGGTCGCAGAGGGCTTCGAAATTGGGTTGATCAGAAGGGCTGTGCTCACAAAGGCCCCCAAACCGTCTGGCGTGCACATGTACTCCGTGCGCACTTATCTGCGGGCAAACCCGCGTAGCTCCATGCCTAGCATGCATACATCATGCATGCGCTATGTTTGCATACAAGCACACATGCCAATATAGTCTGCACGAATTCCTTGTGCAACGTTTCAAACCGCTGGCAAACATCGCAATACAGTTGCGTACTGTTGACGGCAACACGCCCCTGAGGCACGGCAGACGGAGGATGCGGTTGTTCTGAATTTCAGGTGGGGTCATCAAATCAGAGGTCCCTGCCAGCTGGCGAAACCAACGTTCTCCGACACATCCCTGTAGGGAAATACGTTTTGAGCACTCTGGAGAAGCCTGTTTTGTCTGGCCCATCGAAGACACTTGCTATAGGGTTTGCCATCAGACTGAAATGGGCCCTCCGCAAATAACTGGTTCTGGTGCCTTCCAAGAGACCCTCATTTCGCCCTGTGTAGGAACTTGGTGGGAACTGAAGGGAATATCGTGGGCCATCCGAAAGGACCTTGGGCCCTCTGAAAGAATTCTGAGAAGGGAGCAGTTGTCGGCCCTCCGAAAAGCACTCACTCTGGCTCCTTGTAAAGACCTTTTTCGGCCCTCCGAAAGAAAAACATTTGGGACCCTCCACGAGGATCGTCTGAACCCCCCGAACAAAAAAACCTTTGGCCCTCGCAAGATCTAGCTAGCCTCACGAGATCTAGCTAGGGCATGGGCCATGTGACGGGAACTCTTGGGTCGTTTGACGAAACCTCTTCGGCCGTCCGAGCCAGCTGCTTGAGAAGAGGCGTATCCGTCCCCCGCAAAAGTTTCTGGCCCTCCGAAGGGATATCTTCCGATCCCCAAATCAGTTTCTTGCGGGGCGAGAATGCGATCACGATGCAAATTGTTTGGCCTGACCCCAAATCCCCAGGCACCTCACAGTTGGGGCTCAGGGAGCCCAAGGTACATCCTGAAGCCGTACGTCACAATACACCTTCTCCGGCACTGCTTTCAGGTAGTTCACAATACAAGCTGTCAAGAGGGTGCGGACTGGCGTCGGTGACTTCCATCTTCGGGGATCCTGGATCCCGGGCCAGTCGGGCGCTGCAGGATCCTGCAAGTCTAGCGCTCGTGCTGACCCACGTTTGCACTGACCCCTGTCTCTTGAGCCCCGCCATATTTCCCCATTCCCCTATCCGGAGATGAGATGACCACTGTTCCTTGTTGATCCGCCACGGTGCCTTGTGCATGTTGAGGTGTGGAGAGATGCCGAGGTCTGCCTCGTAGGGCTCATGGTGATCCAACCGGGGCCCGGGGCCGCAGACTGCGGCGCTTCCCTCGCGCCCGCTCGAGGATGGTGCACTTCCAGCATGGCAGCTGATGCCCAACCCCCCCTTCCACGCGTGCCCGCTCGAGGACGGTGCACTTCCCGCGCGGCAGGTGATGCCTGACCCCACCTTCCATGCGTGCCCACTCGAGGATCGCGCATTTCCCGCACGGCTGCGCTAGTGCCTGAACCCCCCTTCCACCTTCCCCGCGTGCCCGCTCGAGGATCGCGCACTTCCCGCATGGCTGCTACCTGCCATACCCCTCATCCCACACGCACCTGCTCGAGGATCGTGATTTCCCGCGTCCACAGGCGCTGCTCCCAAGCGCTCCAGGGCCTCCCAAGCCACGATCCCTAGCTAAAAACGATGGGTATGCGCCCCGCGCTTCCAAGACGGCCCGTGCAAACAACCAAGGATACCAAGGTCCAAGATGCCTTGAAGACGGCCCCGGGTGGCCCTACGGCGGCGGAATAGTTAACTGGTCAAGGAGGCCCAAGATGCTTCCAAGAAGGCCCAAGAGGCATCCAAGACGGACCCGAGACGGTCCAAGACGGCCTGCGGTGGGACCCACGACGGCCTTGGAAGGCCCTTCGACGGCCCAAGACGGTGCCACGATTGCCCCCAAAGGCCCACCATACTGCCAAGAGGGCCCCAAGACGGCCCAAAAGAACCTCAAGCCAGCGTAAGAGGGTCCCAAAACGGACCCAAGGAACCCCAAGACTGCCTCACAGGAGGCCAAGGCAGCTCAAAGACGACCCAATCCAGCTACATCCTCATTCTCCTCCTCCTCCTCCTCCTCCTCCTCCTACTTTTTCTCCTCCTCCTCGGGCCTCCTCTTCGTCGTCGTCATCGTCTTCGCAAGCATCCTCATCCTCATCCTCATCCTCATCGGCATCATCATCAGCATCGTCATCGTCATCGTCACGAGCACCATCAACATCATCAGCATCAGCATCACCATCGTCGTCGTCATCATCAGCATAACCATCGTCGTCGTCGACACCATCACCACCTTCATTCATCATCATCATCATCACCACCACCATCATCATCATCATCATCATCAGCAGCAGCATGATTATCATCATCATGAGTATCATCATCATCATCATCATCATCATCATCGTCATTATCGCCATCGTCATCATCCTTATCGTCATCATCATCATCGTCCTCCACCTCCTCATCATCACCAACAACATCATCATTATCGTCATCGTCACCGTCATCGTGATCATCAGGATCCTCATCCCCATGCTCATCCGCATCCCCATGTTGATGTTCATACACATCGTCACCCTCATATTCACTATCATCAGCATCATCCGCATCATGATCATATCCAACATCATGACCATGATTAGCATCCTCACTTTCATCATCATTATCATCATTATTCTCATCTACATCGACATCATCATCATAATCGTCATCGTCATCATCAACCTCACCATCACCATCATCGGCATCAACATCAGCATCACCGTCGTCGTCGTCGTCATCATCATCATAATCGTCGTCATCATCATCGTCAGTCATCGTCTTCATTCATTATCATCATCCTCCTCCTCATCATCCTCATCCTCATCCTCGTCCTCGTCATCATCATCATCATCATCATCATCAGTATCGGCATCATCGTCAACATCATCATCATCATCATCCTCGCCACCATCATCGTCCTCATTATGATCCCCATACCCATGCTCATCCGCATCCCTATGTGCATGTTCATATCCATCGTAATCTTCATCTTCAGCATCATCAGCACCGTCATCATCATGATCAACATCATCACCATCAGCATCATCATCATCATCCTCATCATCATCATCATCCACATTACCATCATCAGCATCATCATCACCGTCACCATCATCAGCACCAGCATCATCATCACCGTATTCGTCGTAATTATCATCGTCGTCGTCATCACCATCAGCATCGTCATCATTCATCATCATACCCATCCTCACTCTCGTCATCATCATCATCGTCGTCAACACCACCATCATCATCATCCTCATCATCACCATCATCATCATCATCTTCATCATCCTCGTCACCGTCATCGTTCTCATCATTTTTTTCTCCCTCACGTCGACCACGGCGGCTGGATGCCTCGACAACTTCGCATGGCCACTGCCCCCGGACATGGAGGGAAGCCGGGCTGCGTGGGCAGCCGACCACCAAAGAATACGGAGACGTTAACAAGCACGTGGCAGGGACAGCGAAAGAGCACCCGTGACAATTATTGCCCGGGGGCCAGGGCGGAAATGTTACTTAAGACCGGGTTTTTCGTTAGGCGCGAGGAGG